ATATCAATGAGAAAATTATGTTTAATCAACAGTTGTTAAAAATGAGTGATTAAAACCAACTAATATTTAAGTAAAAATACAGTAAATACACGTATTGTTAACACTTATTTTACTAAAAACAACTATTAAAAAAATTAACAAAATGTTATTTTTAATAATAACTATTATATACTGTATTTGTGGTCAGTTGTCGGCCAACGGACTCTCACCGGAACAGAAGCTAAGGTGTGAGCGGATAATCAGTGTCTTCGAGTCGGACACCATTGAAATCAAGTACACGGAGTGCGAGGACATTGTCGACGGCCGGGGCTATACGTGCAGTAAGTTTGGCTTCACTACAGCCACCGGCGATGCGTACGAAGTGGTCAAACAATATACGGGCAAAAAGCCGGTCAACCCTTTGGCCGAGTATTTGCCTGAATTGAAACGATTGGCCGAAGAGTTCAGTAACGATACGACAGGTTTGACTGGTTTTCCCGACGCCTGGAATTTGTCCGCCACATCTGATCGCGTATTTAATGAGACTCAGGACGAAGTGTCGGCCGCCATGTCATACAAGTTTGTTAATTCTTATCATGTTATTAATTGCACACATATTTTAATATTTAATTATCATATTTGTTTTTTTATGCGGGATTGTGAATCATGAGTAATACAAATAATTTACTTTTTTAAATTTAAAATAACTGTAATAAAATATATTTTATTACAAAAGTTCAATTATAGTATTTAATATTTAGTTTTGATGGAACACAACCGGCTCAACATTTTATAAATATAATATTAACCTTGATAATATTTTTTACCATTTTATAAAAATTATTTATTTATACATTTCATACTATGTTTAGTCCAGCTATGAAATTGGCAGATGTGGCCCATTTTAAAAGTGCCCTGGGCAAATGCGCCCTATACGACTGCATCATTCAGCATGGTAACGGCAATGATGGCGATGGTTTGCCCGCGATATTCAACCGGACTGTTATGAAAGAGGGCGGTGTAGTGACTGACAATGAGGGCAAATGGATCAGGGCATTTTTGGATATGAGGCAGGACGATTTTAAGCACCCGCACGACCCGATCAACATTGATCACAGGGACAAATGGCCCGAACATAGCGAACGGGTGGACGCCTTTATGGATATATTGAATGCCGCAAATATGGACCTCAACGGACCCATACATGTTACAACGGGTCACCACGATATGATTGTGCCTTGATTATATTGAGAGATTTACTAGTTATTTTTGGAAATTTCCGACTAAAATTTTAAGAAATTAACCTATTTGCAAACACATAGATTTATATTGGCCTGATTGATCCAAATTGTATTAAAATTCAAAAATTATATATAAACTAAAATAAACAAATTAACTAAAGAATATTATGGAATTACAAAAAATGTGGTTAATAGTGTGTCGAATTTATTTCCACCTCATTAATTTTTGTAAATAAACTTTATAAAATTAGTTTTATCCTGTATAATAATAGTAAAGCTGTATACTATAGTAATGTATTAATTTTAGTTTAATTCTTATCATTTACATTAAGAATCGCACTAAGTTGGGTACCTTTTCTAGTGAGGCTTGATTTAAGTAATTTAAACTATACCATTACATTCAGCATGATAAAGTAAATAATAAAATAAATTACATTAATAAAATAAATCGCTAAAAATTTTGCCAATGGCCCTTGTACATAATTAAAATTAGCTAATTAAGTTTAACAAATTCTGGTAAAAGTTTCAATTTTGGCGGTTATAAAGTATTGCTTTAGTATTGTAAAAAACCTTTAATTGCTTTTATAACTTGGTCATAGTTTATTATTCATAGCAGCTATATTGTACTGAGAAATCATCACTCAATGATAATTTATTTTTCATTGATTAATTTACAATGATTGCAATAAAATAGTAATTAGTGTTATTCATAGTATGATAAATAACTACTATGACCAAGTTATAAATGCAATTAAAGGTATTTTACAATACTATAACAGCCAAAATTGAAACTTTTACCAGAATTTGTTAAACTTAATTAGCTAATTTTAATTATGTACAAGGGCCATTGGCAAAATTTTTTGCGATTTATTTTATTATTGTATCATGCTGAATGTAATGGTATAGTTTAAATTACTTAAATCAAGGCTTAATAAAAAAGATACCCAACTTAGTAATTATAAATAATAATAATAATGCATTTAATTTCAAAAGATAAATCTATATTTAATTAAAATAATATTCTAATTATATAATTTTGATTAGTGTTTGTGAAAAAATACATTATCTTTATGAAATATTACTATTATATCTAATAATTATATATAGATAGACTAATGTATAACTTATGGTATTTACGAATAGATAAAAATTTTAATATAACTTATGTTACATATTCAATAGAAAAATAAAATAAATCTTTTAAATTTTTAAAAATTAATATGCCTAATTTTTAGGACGAAGGGAAGGAAGAATTCTATAAACCATACAGTATTCTTCGTAGATATATTGTGATTAAAAAATAATTAATTCTCTTGTTTATCTGGTTTGCTTTTAAATAAACTTTTGAAACATTTAAAACCCTTAGTCACTGAACTCACAATGAACTGCATTTTATTGCAATCAGCGTTATGGTTAACCTTGGCCTGTTTCTGTTGGTCCAACATGGTGCGAATTTCGTGGCCTTTATGTTTGAGCGAGCACAGTTGGTCGACGCGACAATCAATTTCCACGGGCGTAATGGCCGAACCCCCGGTTACGGTGACCGACCCGTCCATTACCTTTTCAATCAACTGTTTTTGCTCGTCGTATTGCTGTAACACCTGTTCGAGTCGTGAAATGGCTGTCCCTCTGTGGGCACCGGTAGGGACCAATTGTTCGTTGGCTATCAGGTGCTCGACATACTGTTTGAACGCGTCGTTTATAGGCGTCAGTGAATTGTTGGCCAGAAAACAGGCAAATATTGACATCGACTTTACAATTGTCTCGTTTTCAGTCTTCATTTCGCCTATTCGTTTGACCAGACTTGTGATCTGCAGCTTTTTGGCCTCAGCGGCCGATTGGGTCGATTCGATCGCTTTGTCAACCTCTTGGTCACGCACCATGGTCATTTTAGTTTTGGTATCGTTGAGCAGATGCAGGTGCTTAGTATAACTGTGACCACACTCCCGGCACATGTCCGACTCGGTAAAAACTTCCGCAACCCTTTCTATAGGTGTTATAACTAGGCGTTCCAACAACGATCCGGTCGGTTCACCAGGGTCACGATCGGTGCCACTGTATAAACTAAACGCTTTGCATCGTTTTAAACCTTTGTTGCCTATAATGTCGCCGTCGCCAAAGCTAAGGTAGCATGGTGAATGGCACATTGTTTTATAATTGATCATGGTTACGCCGTTCTCTACGATGCGTTCGCAGCACTCTTCGTGGCCGCACACAGTCTTCGGTCGACTGAACTGTACGGATATGATCTCAACCGATGGTATTTCCAGTTTTTTCCGCAACTCTTCAATCGTTCCCTTGTATTCATTCACTTCAATAATATGTTTCTCGCATTGGTTTACGTTATCCGCGATATTCTCCGAGATGTCGGCCAACGGTTTAATTAATAATTGTATCATTTGTTTGGTGTTATTCAACGATAGTGTGTCCATCACTTTGTGTGGTGTTAGTTGTATTATGTAATCAAATAATCGTTGACATTCCTCTACAGATCTATTGTGTATTATTTATTAAATAATATTTAATTATTTATTCAATTAATATAACAATAAACAAGTTTTTGAAAAAATTATATACCTGTCCCAACTGTCAACGTAAGTAGACTTATATCGCTTATCAAACTGTAAATTATTGGGCTCACTCGTGGCCACGAGATATCGAAACGACTCGTTATCAAAACAATAGGTCGTACTTTCATCATAAGGGATGTCAACTTTTGGCGGACTTTCCCGGATTTTATCTAAAATTTTGATCAATGCGGGTCCGGATTCCCCGGGCAAGTAGTGAGTGCTCCGACAATTTGTGAACAAAAATATTATATTATTTGCGGCGCTTTTATTCAGATGATTGAATAATTGAAATATACAATACTTAAACACAACGCCGAGTCTCGCTTCGTTAGATTTCAAAAGCACACAAAAAGCATTGATTTCCTTATAATTGCTGATAAAATTCAATATATTTTTCATATTTTTATTATCCTTCTCCACACCATCCGTGTCCGCAATTCCTGGCGTATCGATTATATTGAGTACAATTTTATCAGTTTGAAAATTATAACATTTAGGGTATTGTGTGGCAGATTCTGTCGGGTCAGTAGTGTTTTCATTGGAATCCTGGTCACCCAATGTTACCTTCACAGGTCTTCGTGACTTTGGATTAGTTATCGTAAAGCTGGTGGGGATTATACATATGGGCCGTTCGTTCGCCGCATCCATACTTTCGAAAGACATATAGTTTATGATAGCGTTAATGAATGTGGACTTTCCCACACCTGACTCTCCCAACAATAGTATTGTTATCTCTTTTTTCTAAATAAAATATTATTTATTATAAGAAAATTAATAAATTATCAAATTTACGCAACATAGCAACAACAGCCTCCGCCATACAGGTGTTCACATACAAAATACATAATATTATTTTATAAAATGACATAACAATACATCCATTATACTATTTCACTGTAAATAAGCTTTACAACTACAACAGTACCATTACAATAGGGAGTGGGTAACAAAGTATCAAATGTCAAATCAAGTTTTAAAGTCATTTTTCATAATAATGATTAATGTAACTAGCGTTGCCAAATGATATTTTGAAAATCCTGTATAAATGTAAAAAGTCTGCCATAAATTCCTGTATTTTCTTATATCAAAAATTTTAACCACAATTCAGTGATAAATAATGTGGTTTATAGGATCTTTCTATGTATAATATTGACCATATGGGACTTATGCATGTTAACTCTATGGAATCAGTGCTAGGTAAAACAATTCTATTGTACTCATATTAAATCTATAGATAATGCTAATTTATTCTTTGACCATTACCTGTATTCCGCGATATGCCAAAATAATATATCAAGAGCTGATAAAAACTACTAAATTTACGACTTATTCTAGAAATATTTATTCCTGTATTTTTCAATGTACAGGAATTACCCCTTCCTGTATTCTGCAAAAATTCTATAATTCCTGTATAATACAGGAAATTCCTGTACGTTTGGCAACGTTAAATGTAACACACATATTAATGTAATTTCCAAAACTATATATTATCAATATAGTATTTTTAACCACAATTCAGTATGAATAATGTGGTTTATAGGATCGTTCGGCTGCTCCTCCCCCTTCCCCTCCCCAGCTCCCCCCGTTCTATGAGATTTAACATGGAATCCCAGCTTAAGCCTATAACTATACTTTAACATATGATTCTTAAGTCTATGGAGGATTAACATGGGTTTACAGCATAGGCCTATGGCTATATTTTAACATTTGTAATGCTAAGTCTATGGCATATGGATAACATGGGTAATGCCAAGTCTATAACATAGGGATAACATGGGTAATGCTAAGTCTATAGCATAGGAATAACATGGTTAATGCTAAGTCTATGGGAGTAATGTTATTTCAATGGGTTAATGCTTTTTTTTATGGATATATACTGAATGAATCTGACATACTAAATCAAACTAATTGTTGTCAAAACCATTTAACATTTTCAAAATAATAATAGTGAAAATATTCTAACAATAGAATTCAAAAATTTAAAATCTTTGATGCATTTCCCGAATAGTGGTTAACGTATAGCATCGCTGTGTGTGAGTTGTTTCTCAATTGGATTTAACACCGTATTATATGTAAAGTTGTGTCATTTTAAACTGTATCTACGTTGTAATTAATTACGATCAGGGCGGAAGCTGTTGTAGCTTTGGCAATATACATATAATATGTTTTATATATACATTTTGTTATGTATTTATTTAAATTACCTTTACTTGTGTCATAGTGGCCATGTTGTCTTATTTTAAATCATCAAAATTGAGAAATACATTTTTATTGGTAGACTGGTTCTTATTCATATCTTGCTCATACATAATGTTCAAGTATCTTTTATCTAATAAACATGTTTAAAATAAAGAATTAGTTAAATAAAGTATAATATAATATATGTAAAACTATATTATAACTTCATGCAAAAAGACATGTTTTGCAATACATGTAGTCGTAAACTACAGCACTACAGCTAGAAATGAGTGATAAGCAGTGATAATTTCCAAAGTCTCAAATAGGTAGACGTAATTATTTTTAAAAATTGGTAGTCTATCATACATATACATGATAAATGTTACGCTATTTTGAATTATAGTCTACCCTTTAGTATTTAATATTAATTTATTAATAGTACCCCGATCATATATTAATGTTACTTTATATGAATCATAGTATAGATGAGTATAAATTATAATACAATAGCAGCTGATCTGCGTCTCGTAAAGCAATATTTGGTGATAAGCTTACAATGTGTATTCAATTTGTCTATATTTATATTTACTTTACTAAATCTATGGCAATTAAATAATTAAGCAATATATTGACCAAATTGCCCTTATGCAAATTATATACGTTAAGAACGTTATATACTTTATTTTGACACTAAAAAATATATTATTTTTTAAATATCATTTTATAAAATTAGAATTATGAATATAATAAAATGAATTAATTTACTTACAAAATCATTAATGGCCAACATATTTCGGCAATAATGTGTTACTAATTGTACAAAAGTTGATTGTATTATTTTTTACTATACAGTACACAATAATTACTATTAATGTTACAAATAATACATTTATTTTATATTAATTATATTGAATTATTTTTTTGTTTTATTAATTTATATTACCTTCTCATTGGCTAATTGCACATCATATATTTTATTTAGTTGTTATAACTGATATAACTGATACTGAGCATAAATTACCTAAATTGGGCATGTAAGGCACTTTACTTGTGCTGTGCGGATTGGAATTTATCTGTATAGATATGTAATATATGTGTAAAAGAATGATATATAAATCAAATTGTTTTAAGGCAACAGGCAAACAAGTTATGGCCAATGATTGAAGTGTATTTTTAAAATATGACTAACTTCCTGTGTAAATATTAGCAATCCGATGAGCGTGATTCAAAGTTATTATTACTTTTTAACATATCCCGTTCCAAATAGCATATCCGCCTTTGATAAAACAATGTCGTTTAAAAGTGGCCCAAAAATTTTTATGTTAGACTTACGTTTTTTCAACGAACAAAAATAATATAACCAACAATAGATAATTTCTAATTTTTATAATTAATTTATAATTGATGTTGATTAATTCTTAGTGTTTGTTTTTAATTACAAATATTAAAATAAATTTTATATTTAATTTAGAAAATCATTGCTAATTATAATTTTAACAAGTGTACAATCGACGCGCCGAGTAATCAAAGTTCAATTACTATTTATGAATATGAATTCATAATTTTGATGAGTCTATATATCATCATGAATCATCAAGT